CCCAAGTGCTTTGAGTCCTAATAAGCCCTTAGCGATTTTCGCGGGAGTACGTACGAGAAGACCCCACAACAGTATTTTTATTAGCTGATGGTCATTTCTTTTGTAAATGCTTGGTTGGTTTAAGAAAAAATTGCACTTTTGAAGATAAATCGATTCAGAGATAAAGATTCTGAACTGGAATTTCAAACTCGAAAGGTCTTTCAGAACCATTGAACCACGGTTAGCAGCTCTGACATGCACTTGAACTTTGCACGTCCTTGTTTTATCGAAACTGTATATGGTAATCAGCATGATTAGTGCACATCGTGATGATGCTAGACTTTCCTTCTCAGGACATTAAAGAGCCTTGCCCAACATGGGCTCTCACAATTACTACGAGATTTCCGCAAATATTCATGGGCCTCCATATAGATCATTTCAAGAGCTGATTTCTTTCTCTTACTACTGCGACCACCTTCAGCCATTTTTCACGAGTTTCAAGAGTAGTTATATGAAAAGTCTTAAGAGCAGTAAAATTTGTAGGACATCTAAAGAGCTCCAAGTGTATTCTTGGCCAATTGAGTAAACTTCAATATCCAAAGGTTCGCCTGTGAATGTGGACATTTGCGCGTATAGAGACGCTCATAAAGAAAATTCGCCATGCGTGTGTTTGTGCTTGTACTTTGGCTCATGTCTATCTCGACTGCGTGTTAAAAAAGTGGACGTGTGGCATGTGGCACATCGTAATTTGAAATGCACACCTCCGCCGCAAAACTCAAAAGATTTGCAACATATGCCGGAACGCGACGTTTTGTCGTGACGCATGGCTAGAATATTTTAAGTCTCGATTCCGCCGCTACATCGCCGTATGTACGTAGAACAACACTTCTAGCCACAACGGTCCTCTATAGCCTGAATAATGTGGCGATTGCTTAAAAGGAAATATTTTCAAACACACTCCTACATACAGATATGAATTAACGATGCATGATATATGTATGTACATATGTAAGTCAGCTGTTGTTCCCGTGCCGCTAGTTTACCATACCTGGAAAGTCGTAAATTTTGCGGGATAATAAAGTTGTTATGCGTTGCAGTCACGCCATGATGCCCGCGTATAATCCACTGACACGGTACAATTTCCGCAATGGCCAAATCGCGACATACAAACACAGTAGCTGGAACAGTAGCGGTAGTGGTTGTCAGGCGAGGATGTGGTTGATGCGGTTGGCACTGGAATATATCAAGGAAAATGTGTGGGACTTGTGTCAGTCTTTTCAACGGTTTTAGTTGTCTGAAAGGGAGCGCCAGGAGTCAGCTAATTTCTTTTACCGTGCATATAGTCAGATTTGAAGCTTCTGCGTAGCTGAAGGATTTTGGTCGGAAGTTTTTATTATTATTATTATTCAAAGAAATTTCCTTGAAAGTATTGATAATCTCAGATAAAGGCTGAGTGAATTGATAACAAAACTTTTATAAACCCATTTTTTGATTAAGGTCGCATCTTCCCTCCTGCTGACTCGTAGCTCACATTGCTACTACCACCACAAATTGCCTCAAATGAGTGGAAGATAAGTCTACTCAGTTAGAAAAACTTCAACCGATTTTTTTTATCATCAACCTGAAATTAATTTAAGTCACAGAAAAGAAAAATTTAATCGAAATTTTTTCAAAACTGATTTTTTTCAACAAACAGTTTAGCCAATCCGAATGGGATTTCTAGGCTTCACTCCAGTTTTATGACTTCTTATAATTCTTACGTGTTTAAGGGGACTCACTCACGCTTGCCTTCCTGTACTTCCTGCTTATATCATTGCTGATGATGTCCATTGTTCGCGCGTGTCACCTAAAGATTATGGCAGTCCTTTTGGGATCACGTGGCAAAAAGCGGATGAATATTTTTTCCTTATCATTAGGTCTGATCCTAGTCGTCTCTCTACTTATTTATACAATCTTAACTACTATTTTGTTCTTCTTTCTCACCATACCCTCTTGGCCTGGAACACATGATGTAATTAGGTGCTTGACTGCGGTTTTTTTTATCCTTACTTTCCTTCTTCAGCTTGAGCGTGATACAAAAGACTGCAGCGCCCACAGAGTCAATCATTTTTGATCCTTCACCTGAAGTCTTGAGCATATATTCCGTTGGTGAATCGTTTTATTAGTATAGGAATCCCAAGCCAAACCACCATCAACCGTGTAGTATCAATGCATCGACCCAGGCGTTGGATGTCAAATAACGGGTGGCCCATATACTGTATGCCTTTTGGACTAGGTCTCATTTGAGCATTGACATCTTCAATGGCATTTCCGATGTGTCAGATACTCAGTACAAGGTTTGCAGTTTATGAAATGGTTGAGATGAAGCTTGAAGAAAATTAAGATATATTGAAGACTTGAAAATTGCACACGACATTGGAGAGAATTAAATCGCATTCCAAGCAGTTTGCGGATAAGTTTCTGAAGCAAGTGCACCAAAAAGGCATGTTCATCAAAAACACTTGTTTTCTGATTGAGCTCTACGGCTACGTTAACAAGCAAAACTGTCGCATTTGAATCACGAGCGACTGTTTGATTCTTCATGTCGGCACTAGACATGATTGGTCGGTCAATGGTGATCATTACCATGCCATGCTCAAAGATTATTTGTTGGAGAGGCGATATGTGCCACACAGCCAATGTTTTAATCAATATTTTGTGCACTGTGCTCAAAATTCGTAAAGCTATCCGAGACGCCGAGTCAACTGAGCGCAGCGCAAATGTCTTCAGCTCTCTTGGAGAGCCGTTCGCATAAGTGCTACGGCAACCATCTAGAAGGAATCCATGACTTGAAATATGAAATTAAAATTTGAATCGCAGCCATAGAAGGCCATATAATCGAGAATGTATTGAAAAATAGGGTCGGCATACACACCAGGATGGGCTAATGCAGAACCAACTACGGCAGCCTTATGATAAAGGACGGTATGTTCCATCATTAACTCAAAGCTTGAGGTATTCCAATAAAGGACGGAGCTTTGATCAAATCGTCATATCTAAAAAAAAAAGATCGTAGTATGGGAGCTACATGCCACAGTCGTCCGTTTTCGATGATTTTCAGCACCAAAATGTGGTTCATCATTCCTAGTTGTTTTTGACTAAATTTATCACTAATATCTCAACAAGTATTCCATAGAAAAATTAAAACTTTAGAAATAAAACAAATGACTGAAATATTCATCTGAAAAGATTCTTGGGGTTTTCTATTTTTTCAATATTTGGCTTTGTGTAGCGAAACAGACAGAGGCACTGGTAGTGACAAATAAAAACCAATAATTTTATCGCCAAGTAGCCACGACTACTCCATTCTCAACTTCAGTTTGATAGCTGTCTAAAAACTTTAGTATTCGGCGAGTTATCTCATTTTTATCTTCTATCGCTTCGTGAGTTGGTGCGTTGTCGTAGTGCAAAATCCATAACTTTTTTAGTCTCGAATCTGGCATTTATATCCAACTTCCCAGCGCTCAGATAATACTTCTTATTTATCATTTTACCGTCTGGAAAGTTTTTCGAGTACACAGCACAACACAAGACGTTCCTGTTACGGTTTTTTTTCGACTTCGGCTTAGTTGGAAAACTACATAATGAAGCTTAACGAAGCTTTTTGACTGGATGACATATCAAACTCAAAAACTCAAGCCTTCAACATAGTCTTCAGTGATCTTCATGCGTTTGGGCTTTTGAAGAAAATTCACGGCGAGAACTGAAATTGATTGACAATAGTTGGAGAACTGAAAAAAAGAACTAAGAGAACTTTTTTAAATAATAAGTGTGCGATATTTCTTCGATATATACGAGGAAATGACAAAATTTCGATTAATTGGTGACTTTCAATTTGTTTTTGTTAAATCTAAAAATACCAAATGCTTTGCAATAACTTATTAGTCTTACTTTCAAAATGTAGAACGAACGGCTAAAAGGGAGACGAGAAAACGAGATTCAGCTGCGGATAGGTCAGATGAAATTCCGCCACCCACGCACACACAAATTCGCTGATTCTCTTCGGGCTTCGGCGTAATTACAGCCCATACAAATATTCATTGAATGCCAAATAGAATATGGAACGATTGCAGCGTCTCTAAGTGGTTCCGAAGATTTCAGACTGGACCTTTCTCCGTAGAGGACGAGCCGCGAGAATGTCGACCAAAATCATCCACTGATGACCTCACTGTAGCTCTGGTGAAGTTCAAAATCTACGAAGAGCCACGATTGACACAAGAAATAATTGCTAATGAATTGGGCTTGAATGTCATGAATGTATCGCGAATATTAAGTAATCATCGCGGATAAACGAAGAAATCTGCTCGATGGGTACCACGAATTTTAAATGAGGCCCGAAAGAGGCTCGAGGGTATTTTGCTCAACAAATTCAGTCTAGCAACTTTAGAAAAGCCGTTACTGGTGAAGAATCTTGGTGCTATAAGAACGATCCAGAAATTAAACATCAGTTCATGGTATGGAGCCCAACAAGAGCAAACTTTCCCGTAATATCTAAGCAAAAAAATATCAAAAATTACAAAAAAATTAAAAAGATCGTTCTTAAATAGCAACGACGAGATATTAAATGCGGTTAATGCTGAACTTGATAAGCTTTAAAAGCAAATTTTTGAAGACGGTTTTCAGAAGTGAATCTATAGGCTTAAGAAATGCATTGAAATCAATGGCGATTATGTAGAGAAGTTAGAAAAGGGCGAAGATTACGAATAAATACAAAAATAATTTTTTTATTTTTTGTTCTGGTCAAATTACCGACCTTATGTTAGTCCCCTCGTATATGTATGTAGGTCACTTTTAAAGTTTTCTTAATAAGATTTATTGAGCCCTCACTATACAGACACTACAGCAGTGAAAGGCATGGGGGATACAACTTTACGCAACCTACAATTTAGACGTCAAGTGACGCCCACCAATTCGAAATTAATTAATATTTTATCAATTTGGCTGCACATATATTTATTATTATTATTATTATTTGTTTTCAGTTATGCCATCCAGAGCAAGAGATCACATTAGGAGAATGAAGTCGGCAACGGCATGCCATTGGCCCATGCCGCGTGTGGTACCTGTCTCAAATTACACCTCCGTTACATATAATCCACAATATACTATATTATATCGCTGTGGCGAGGATACGGGCTGCTGTCGATCGAAGGGACAGGTGTGCACGGTGAAGGAATATGAGAATGTGACACTATATTTTTTGGTAAGTGTAGGTGACACACCTTTTTTAAATTAATTTTGTATATTTTTTTTTTACTATTTAAACATATTTACCATATGCATTTTATAGGCTTTTATATATTAATTTTTGCCATAAATTTTCGTAGTAAATTTGTCAGTTTTCCATAACTCAATTTGCTTGTTATGTTACCACCACAAATATTGCTGTTATGGTAGCCATACGCTTGAGCAAAGCAAAAAACAATTAACAATAATTTTGAATATTAAACTTTTTGGCAAAAACAGGCAATCGACAACAGCAACCACAAATTATATTTCTATTGACTAACAATTTGGCATGCAATATGTATGTATACATCTACTGCCAAGTTAATATATGTACATACAATGAGATATACTTTCATACACACATATCACGCCTGTCTGTTTGGCCGCCTGTCGTTGTATTTTGTCTACGTCAGCACCGCCTATGTGCGCATGTGTGTAGAGAAAGTGGGCGATGAATGTTATAATGCCAGGCGTTTTCAATTAAATCTATTTTGCTTTGACGCGATTTATGACAAATTTAAAAAAGTTTATGTTGTTATTGTTACTATTTAATAGCGTATCCTTAGTTGTGGTAAGCAAGTTGAGATTTTGAATATTTTATTGTTATTATTATATCTAAGTTTTTTTTTACTGCATGTAGTCTGGTATAAGTTTTTGCCAATATAAGTACATGTTTATAGTTGAGACTGTGGAAAATTTCAATGAAGTCCAACAGGTGGAGAAAAAGTTATAAGTTCGACAAATTAATAGTATAGTTTCTTCTTTGTTCCCTCGCCACCTGATTTTTCCAAAGGATTGGAGGTTTTCTTCGGCCTCTACTTCCATTAGGGTGTACTGCGTCGAACCCTTTCGAAGCTAGAGTATTTTTGTATAACCTGTCAACATGACCTAATCAGAATGTCCTTCTTCTTCTATATTGGCGTGAACATGCGCGATTGTTGACGAGTTTGCGACAGCGCTTGATTCGTTTCTTCACTTAGCCGCTCGGCGTCAATTATAGACACCATGTCCTACTCCATTTGAACTAAGTCAATGTCTTAGTATAGCTCTTTGAGTTCATTGCGCAAAGCAAAGGGAAACCTTTTTTTCGCATACTCCAAGCATCGAGTCATCATCCATCCTTCAGCCACACCACGAAAATGTAGTGAAATTTGCGGAATTGGGTCTTTGTTCGTCGCCATTGGGCTTTAATTCTATTTAGCCTGCTCAAATAATAGCTAAAAAATAACCCTTCATAATTCTGACGCAGCTGTTAGTATTAGTCAGCGTAAACACAACATGGGAATTCGGATTCAACCTTTTAAGGAGTTGCACTTTTGCCAACACTCAGCAGGCGGGAGAAGCGTTCCCTACATAATCTTAATATGCTCTGAACCTTGATCATTAGTAAATATCTTTAAACCCTATTCTGAATCTAAAAACTTGAACATACGCCCAGCCTCTCGTCATCCAACTTCCAGACCTATTGTTATATAAACCCAACTGTTCTCTTTTTATACTCTACTTCGATGACATCTCCGCCAATGTATGGATGGTCAAATGATGTATTTTTTCGTTCTATAAATATCTTTAGAAGCAATTTTTTTTAAGTATCAAAAGCATCAACGACGATATTCCGTTTGGTTGAATTAAAAAATGAAATAAAAGAAATGATTCTGTTTTGATTTCTCGTTAACTTTAATTTCAAGATGATCGTCTGCTATGATATTAACAGCACAGTGCAGTTTTAACATTTAAAATTACCTGCTAACGATTTAACATTATCTGCTAACGATTTAACTTTAGCTGTTAACGATTTAATATTATCGACAGCATTTCGTTTTAGCTAAAAACGAACTTAACCCAAACGTCGCTAATGTTTTTAGCCACTTGTATACACTCTAAACAACCAGGCGGTGTGCCATAATCTCGGAATGATTAATTTTTTCTGAGTATCATTGTTTTAATTGAGCTAGAATGAAGCGAACCGTACTGATCAGAAGAGCTTTTAAAACCATTGCAACTAAGTAATTATGAAAAAACACGTTCCCTGGCCAGACCAAGCCATATTTGAATTTATTATAGAGAAAGATGCCAACATCTGGGAAAATAATCCACTTTAATATTTGCTGCATATCAACTTTACTCTAAAATTAACTTAGATATGTGAACTAGCTTTTTAATATGAATCTTTTTGAATTTTCCGGATACACATACATTCGATTTTGCGCTGATTTATCACACTCAATCGGTTATTGACGGTTTTTTCCACTGATGGACACTGATGGAAATCCGCTCATTAGCAAATGCAGGTTGGCACCAATGGACTTCAGAGATTGTTTAAAATGTTTTAATATTTAGTTATGTTTTATGTACGTGTAAGCAAATATTTGTGTTTGTGCACAAAAATTCATACAAACACGCACTTAAAAACACTTTCTGTTTGTTTTTCTAATGTTCAATGGCAAGAGCACCAACAATTGATTATGTTTTGTTTAACAAAAGTTAGAAAAATAAATTTATTCTATTTTCCCCTCTTTTATTTGCTACACTGCTTTCGCTGAGTGACGGCAGCGGAGTGGAATTTCACAGAAAACTCTGGGGTTTGGCAGGTCATTGGTCTCCTCCTTTGGTGACCTCGCCTATGTTAAGCATCCTCCAATTAGTTGAATGAATGATACAAAATATGTTTAAGCACATACATACATACCCATATACATATGTAGGTATGAAGACGTATGGTACATATACCCATACATATATACAATTCCTTGCAATGCTATGCCAATGCGAATGCCCAACCTTAGGTGTGTTGCAGGCAGGCGGCAAATCAAGGCACCGACGACCCATAAATTTGGCGATAAAAACGTCCAGTTTGTTGAATGAATTAAACGAAAAGCGAGCTGGAGTAAAACGGAATGTAAACAAAAACAATAACAAATACAACAATAAGAATTATATAAGACTATTTTTGTTTTTTACTTTTCTGTAGTTGTTGTATGTAGAATGTGGCAGTAAAAGAAATGCATGCAAAACATTGAATGACTCAGTGTAAAGAAATTTTGACGGGGCGTTGCACTGTGTGTAGGTTTTTTTTTTGGTGTGCCAACTTAGTTTAAGTATTTTTCACGGTTATCCAACTACATATTTACATACATACATACAAACATACATATATGTATGTTCATGTGAACGTGCGCTTGCATTTGTATATAAATAAATCTGACATTCATAGAATTTAAGCAATTACAGTGGTGTAGCTATGTGCATACATATATACGTGGCCATAAGTGCATTAAATAAATATATTTTTTTACTCATAAAATCTTTTTTGGTTTAATTTACTTTTTCTTCATTTTTTATTTAGGTGGAAACTGTCAACTCCAGCAATTCTTACTACGACACCTTAAAGCTACGCAACGATACACGATGTGAGTGCGTAAATCGCTCACAATTGACATCCACAACGGACTCCTTCACGCGCGATAAACGTTCGAATCTCGCCGTTTGTCGTTGTCCACGGGAATTCGATGTCTTCCAAGATATAAGATGGCAATCACTACGTCAGCGGCAAACGTACAATTGTCGTTGTGATTGCAAAGATGCAAATACATCGTGTCAGCGTTTAAAGAATGGCGATGAAGGTTTCGCTATGGATGATCGCAGGTAAATGGAATTAAAATTGTTGAAGCCATTAAAGTATTATTAGATCCAAATGTAGAAAGAACAACTCACAAATGACCTTAGCTCTATTTCTGCCTACGGTTACAGCTTGGAATTCTTGTTGTATGTCATTATATGTCAATGCCTTACTCTCAAAACCTCTGCATCCAATCTCATCGGTAATGGTGAGAGACTTGTAGAATTAGGTTTTTAACGTTGAGAGTGGAGTTTAATTACAGGCAAACAAACACAGAGAAATAGCTCCTTTTCATGCTGTCGAAAGTTAAGATATTTTCAAGTACTTGGATATCTAGTATCTCCCTATCTCTCTTTTTCTGTCTGCATATATGCACGTCTATTATACGTCTCATAAGAATGCATCAGCCATTTGTAGTAGACTTCAAGTCTGTCGGAAAATTATTTAAACGTGAAAGCAAATTGGAGAGAAATCTAGACTCTACAGCAGTGAATAATAGTACCTCTCGCCAGTGTCTATATCTTCCGCAGAATACAAATCTAAATCTAATTTTAAGCTCTCTTTGATAGATATTAATTATTATGTCCAATAAATCTCCTGGTCACTGAAGATAACCGCTTTAGTGCTTTCGAGGAGATCGACTAATTGAACAGACGAGCATTTCTTATTATGGGACCAAACATTCCAGAAACCTGTCTTTTAACCAAAACCCTTAGTATTCTACTCAGAACATTAACACATTTAGAAACCAAACTTACGGGGTAACACTGAGATATTTTACATAGGAATTCGAAGATTGATTTTCATAAAAAGCAAATTTTTCATTTCCTTCTTCCAGGTGCATTGCAGAGAGTTTGTGTAGTGTGCCCAATTGCTCCTTTGGCATTTATAATGAACAAACCGGCCGGTGTCCGCGTTCAAATAGGAAAGTCAAACGTCACAACAGTGGCTTCGGGTAAACCGTTAATATGTAATTAGTAGGAAGTACAGTCAAATTTCGATGCCCATTAAGATTTTTATACAATTATTTGTATGTAAATTAATTTAATTAGATTTATATGTTTATTTTATAAGAAGTTTTGTAAATATACATTTGTTTATGTGTAAGTTTGGCTTAAGTTATAGCATTTGAAAACATTTTTAATTTCATTATACCTACTTATTTAAACATAAAAATTACTTATAGGATAAAATTAGTAATGAATGTATAAATGTATGTACGAGTAGGGCTTGTAAATGCTTTCACCGACTGAAATGTAAAGCAACAATTTAAATTTCATTTTAATACACTAAAAATGTACGCAATTTAAATGCTTTGGATTAAGAAAAAAAAAATTATTAATTTTTATTTATATGCACATATGAGTGCACGTACATATGTACGAGTATGTACATACATATGTATAAATATGTACATTAACATTTCAAGAAAGTTTTATTATACACTTAATAGTTTTAAAAGTCGAAATCTCAAGCTGTGTCCACGCAGTCGCAGTTCAAGTTGATTTAAAACTCAGCTGAGCTATTGCAGAAATAAAGCTACCCACTTTTTTTATTTACATAAAGTAATAAAATATTATTACAAGCAACTAAAACAAGATTTACAGTTCTTCCTGCTCGCATGTTCGGATGTTGGCTCTTTTGGAAAAGGCTATAGCTGAAGTGAAATGAGTGGGACGTTGGGAAGAGTGGGTGTGTAACCAATCCCACATTTAAGGCCTCTTCAGTGGTTACGAGTACATACTTCAATCGTACATATTTACACAGAATCTCTCTTCTTTGCGCATAGATCCAATCTCGTATATTCAATTCTTACGTCCGTCCAAAAATCCCAGAAAAAGTCGCTCAAGCGAATGTAATCGATTTTTGGATTTGAAAAGAAGAAACCGTTTGAAATTATGCCACGTCATTTCACTTTCAAAAATCCCTTTACATCTAAATAAGTTGTTTTCGGAACCTTTTCCTGTCGATGTAGTTGGTTGGTTGGTTGTTTGGTAGTAGAAAAGGCTGATGACCTGACTGCATGAGGCCCAACCTTAGCTATTAACTAGGCTCATAGGGCTCTCCCGCGTATCCCAACTATTCATTTGCAAGCAAGTTATTTTCAAATCACAAAAAACAAAACAGTTCACTTATGGTTTTGACAGATTTGAAGACATTTGTGAGAGAGTGACTTATCTTTACTCTCTAATTGTCCGTTTAGCCCGGATAACATGTGAAACGCATTTATTCTTAAACTCTCTACAGAGATATTCCTCCTTTTAACTCTGGATCATGGGTCGGTAAAAATAAAGATAAGAGTTTGTTGGTGATGACAGTTGTAATATCTATTGAATTCATTATGAAATTTATTAAATTATGTCAAACCCATCCGAGTATATTTCTAACTTGAAATAAAAGCATCTCATAAAAATCCATCGGCTATTCAATGGCGACTTAGTATAAACTACAGGTACCACCATTTATTAAAAAATCATTTAGACGCTGCTGAAAATCAGGTTTTTTTTCAGATTATAGATGATATTTTTGCAGGGAGAAAATACAAATCCCAGCGGAAGTGCCGCTTAAGACCTTTGATCCTAACCAGACTTGCATCAGTTTTGAGTTATACTTCTAAGCATTTGCGTTACTTTATTCCAGAAGAGACAAAATGAAACTCCGTATAATACAAATTCCTTGGCAATCACTAAAAAGACTCGAAAAACTCTAAAAATGACTTTTTGTTGAAATCTTCATCGAAAAGCTGGGAGGAATGTTCAACACCTGTCTTCATTGGTTGGGAGAATGAATCCGTCACGCATGCAAGTCGATAATTAAATTGCCACTTTTTGCTTTTATTACATCAAACTTTCCTGCTGACAGTTATTATTTCACTCAAACCAAAAGCCGGAAGAAAAGCTTACTGAATGCCCTCAAGGTTTTAAATCAAGCCTATTGAATTGTTGATGTACTACGACTTATAAATAGCTTGAAGTATATGATTCGACTGAAAAATCTGGTTAATTAAAGCGGTAACACTGTTTTTAGTAATTGAATCGCAGATGAACTAGCAAAAGAAAAAACCTTCTATCCAGAAAAAAACAATGCCGGTCTACCTTTGCCCACGGCTTAAACTGCCCTTCGCAAAAGAAGCTGACTCAAGACGGTTGTATGAGATTATGTGTAACGTGACCAGACAGCTATGGCAAAGAAAGACTCAAGAGGACATGTTTTAATGGGGATTCACGAAAAGGGGGAGTCTCGCTGAGGTAACATCAGTGAAATTTGCGATAGCATTTATATATAAAACACACGAAATGGTTCGATCATTTGAGCAGGTTAAGATAGTGTGCTGGTAATGACCAGCTGCCGCAGCAACTAAACTCAACTCGACTCATTGCTTTACTCATCAACGTAATCACCATCATCAGCCGCACAATAATTCCAATGCCGCATTAACACTTCAATACGGAATTTTTAGAACGATTTATCTCTTGCCTTAAAATAGGCAACAGTTTTAGGAGATAACATCTTCAGTCGAAGAGGATGTCTTCGAGGTCTACCAATAGCCAGCGGTGGTTGGGAGTCAAAACTGGTGAAAACTGTGGATGTCGGTGAATTCGTAATTCAATTCATGTAGTTTAGCCACAGTTTTGACTGACATGAAGAATGAAATTTTCAGCCTACATAGATAAGTATGTTTGTGCTAGGAGCAAACATTTTCCGCCTACGACTTTTGCCGATCCTTGATTCGGCTAGGGAAAGCGACCATATTAAAGGTATCTTTAGGATTTTTCTAACCCAATAAAATATATGTACAGAAAACAATATTTTAGATCAAAAATAATAAATAATTATTTAGCTTTTTATTTTAAATTATATTCAATCATAAATATTAAAATGTTTAGTGTACAATAATATTAATATTTCAATGAGTAATAATCAATTTATGTCAATAAATAAAAATTTATTTGAAAAATGCCGACAACAGGGTTTTATATACTCGTACATATCTGCATATGTATATATGTAAATGCGAGTATCACGTGTCTCAATTGAAATTGTATCATCGCGTTCCATGGGAGGCATGCAGAAAGTGCCAATTTGTATTAATTGTTGGCGTCGTCGTGAACTTGAAGTATTCTAAATATATAAATTGAAATAAATGAAGTGCTATAAATGCAGTTAGAGCAACAAAAAGAAAAAGAAAAAGAAACAAGAAATGCCATGAGTAAATAAGCCAGTGTTTGTAGTTGTATTTATAATGATAGATAACTATATAATAATTTATACTTATATAGAGATTAATTTTACATATATAAGAGATGAATTATATATTTTTTTAGTAAAAATTGTGTCATAAATAAATGCCGTTTTTCGTCTTATGCATTTAAAATTCAATTCATTTTATTGTAGCTTTTAGCATACATACATACTGGTATGCATATATATAAGTAGATATATGTATATTGTATTGTATATAAGAAAGTTAATTAGCTTAAGCGAAAATACGATATGAATATTAAATATGTATGTAAGTACAATTATCTATATGTATGTGTGTATACGTGTCTACTTGTTTAAAAGTGTCTTTGCATATCTCATTTAGTATCAAAACGATTTTAAATAAAACTAGTCAAATTTGACAGTAAAAGTGGCAGTTTTATTCCTTTATTACCGCTTTTTAATTGGTGTGTGGGTAAGTTTTTATGAGAAAAATGCAAATCAGCGCCATATATGTATATAGGGTTATTCATTTCGTGGTTTGGAATATTCAGAGCTGAATTTTGATATCTTTAAAGTTTGATTGTAAAACTAAACATGTTTTGTTTTAGCTAAAAGTCAGGCACAACGCACAACGCGTTTAAAATGTTAGAACCTACTAAAAAATGGTGATTCAAAAGTGACAACGTTTCATTCTCTATGATCAGATTATGGCGCTTGTCATTTGGATAAATTTAAGCAGACTGGATCAGCCTGTTTCACCTCAAACACCCCACTGTATGTGTAGTGTAGTGTAGCCGAAGACCCGAATGTGTATATTTGTCGACCTGAGACTCTTTTGCGGTACAATAAATAGCTGATCCATTTCGAGCTTCCCAACTTTTTTAAAAAAAAGCACAGCACATGAAAATTCAATGGGGAGTGTTGATTATTATTTGAAAGAACATTCTTTGGCAATTTTTTTTTCAAATGTTGGCCACAACTACGTGTCAGATGGCTCATCCGTTGTCCAATTTTCGACGACTCATTCGAGCATTTCGACTGGCAACTGGCGAATGACACGCGTGATGTTTTGCTCCAAGGCCTGAATCGAAGCGGGATTGTCCGCATAGACTTAAGACTTTACATACCCACAAAGGAAAAAATCTAACGGTGGGATAACACACGATCTTGGTGGCCAATCGACCGACCCAAAACGTAAAATTATCTACTAATTAAAGTGTTCTATCAATAAAACCGTTGTTTAAACCAAATGCCGCCGAGATCACGAACTTCTATTTCAGGTATCAAATAGTCGTTTAAGTTTTCACTATCATCCAAAAAAATAAAAAAATAAAAACAACCAATCAAAACCATACGAAACCGTTGTTTTTTCTGAATGAAATGGCAGCACACCAATTGACCCAGAAATGGACCCCATAACTAAACTAAATTTGGCGCGAAACGCTGGATATTCTTGAAACTTTTATAGAGCTGATAGAGTGGAGTGATGTCGCTGTCGCTTGGGTAGTTCGAGCGGCTTCAGTTCTTGCACAAGCTTTATTTCGTACACTTTCAATTTTAGATCTCGGCGTATCGGCGTTAGTCCCAACTGCAGCGAACGACGCCGAATCGACTATCCATTGTGTTCTATTCGGTCGAATATTATCCAATAATTTGCGTATTAAAGTCGAGCCATTTGTAAACTTTGTTCAGACAAAATTGATATCAAAAAATAATAAACAAAAATAACATGATAGCTTGATGAACGACGCGTGAGTCGTGTGTTCTTTCAAAAAAAAAAAAATAAAAAAAAGCTCTTGAAAAAAGTGACTCTTCTCTCTCGTTACAAGCAGTGAGCGGAGAGATTTTTAATAAAATTTTCTTCAGACACGTGGTACATTTCTTACTCTTGGCACATGTTTAAAAGTAAAAAATATCGCATTAGGAGCTAATTGAAGAGATTTCATAACACCTGCAAAAAAGTTGTGTTCAAACTTATTTCTTCGACAACGACAAGGCTGCACCTGACAAATTGGAGCAATATGATAACCAACTTTTTGCCTGTAATTGAAGAACACTATTTGGACAATATTTGGTTTCAACAAGACAGTGCCACATGCCACACAACACGCGTGAATATGGCTTTATTGCGAGAGAAATTTCCCGGCCGCGTAATCTATCTCCTCGGCAATGCCAATACGTCACAAAAGATCGTGCGATTTGACATTTGACTTGGATTACCGTGGTTTTAAGGATGAACCTTGAAATAAGCCGCTCACTATGTGGCAAAAAGTGGTAGAAAACTAGCTCAAACGGATCGAAGTTTGGCGGTTTAAATGATGCAGTGTTTCGCATGTCAAACCAAGGTTCAAGGTGATGAAAAAGGAATTTCATGATTTATTCGCAAAATCGCTAAGTGGATTACCCTATACAAACAAATTTACGTTTATGAGTAGGTAAGTGCGTGCGCACTCAAGCATTCGTCGTCAATTTGAATGAATGATTTTTGAATTTTTTAATATGCACATATCAACATACGCTGACACGCACACATATACATACATACAAACAGGCATACGCTTAGTAATAAAAGCTATCAATTTTAATTATCAAAATATGGGAATTTGAAATGTTTTGTAGGAAAACGACAAAAAGACGAAGAAATAAAATATTCGGCTTTTAGCCGCGAGACATTGGCCGCGCAAAATTAATTGACTTTCAACTAAAGTTGTCTGGCTCACAATTAGCCTACTATTGTGGCGAGTGGTCATATCTCTCCGATCTTTATCGAAGATATTTTACGACCATCAAATAGTCGCTCGACCCAATTGCACACTATGTTCATATACATCTACATACATTCGTACATACATATGTTTCGACTACTGTGTGAATACTAAGTGTCAGACACTTTGCGACGTGGGTCAATGCCACAAAGCAAATGGACACGCAAGCGGCGCTGAGTATTGTATTCACTTGTATAACCAGACGGGAGTTCATCCAATATAAACGACTGTAAAGTGTTTGGAGTCACTTTTGGTAGTTTGGTTATAATTGGAACTATGCATACCAAGATCCTTGTCAGCATCCTTATCTTCTGTGGGTAGAGTGCAAGGTTGGACTAGGTTTAGCTGATTACCTCCTCACCTAGGCGATGCTGCGGCGTTAGTTTTACCAGAAGCACTACATTAAATTACTATATGTTGATATACTTGTTGTCGTTAAGCAATTTCTAGCAGGCGCTTCGGGCTCCTAACCGCTGCAAACTGAAGATCCTGCAAATTTCACTCGACACTCCTCTGTCTGCAGAGCTCTAGACAGTCGCAGATTACGCGCTGTATTGTTTATACTATCCCTTCCTGGCATTTTCTGCATTTATTGTCCGCAATCAGATCTAATTTAAAGCCATCGGACGCCAACGAGCAGTGCCTTGTTAACAACCCTACTAGTAATCTTAAGCCAGTTTGTTGGCCACTTCATTGTCCTCGATACCCAAACGCCCACTCTCATTTATTAAGTGTGGATTTTCCTTCTCTCCGAAAACCTTTTGGTTGCCCTTATTCAAAGTATAACTACTGTCATATGAAACATGAATCTAAGACCTTTATGGCTCCTTGGTTGTCTACATAGTTAAATGTTCTCTTTTTGTGAGTGCTCAGTCCAAAGTAGAACCCGTTGGCAAAAGTGATTCTGCGCTGGATTTTAAGGCAGACGTTATTATTCATGTTAATGTTGGTTCCTAGATAGATAAGTGATGTGGAAGCCAAGTCGCGAATGCGATGACTGGTTGTTTGATGCTAGGAGATATTTCGTCTTGCCCTCGTTTACTACCCGACCCATTCGCTTCGTTATCAAGCGTGGAGAAAGCAGAACTAACGGCGTGGTTGCTGAAACCGATAATGTCCATATCATCGGCGTACGCCAGTAGTTGTACACTATTATAGAAGATTGTATCTTCTCTATTCAGCTCTGCAGCATCAAATTGAAGAAATCACACGAGAATCTCAATTCTGACTGCGCTTCAGGTGTTGTCTAACGTTAGCTTACACAGCGGCTTAACGGCGTAAAGGCAGCCCCTTTCCGTGCTGTCGAAGGCGACTTTAAAATTGACGAAGAGGTGGTGCGTGTTGCTCTTCTTTTCAAGGGTCTTTTTCTACGACTGCTGTTCCATCCACTTGGAGTATCCTATCAGTTTCTGAAAAGGGCCCTGGACTTAGTACATATTATCTTATAGGTTTATATCGTAACTGCATTCCAATTACCCTTGGAACGTCCTCCTACTCAGAGAGTATAAAGCCTATCCGGTGCTATTTTTGTCAAGTTTGCTTTGAATTGCGGCAGAAAATTTTTTTCGCCCTTCATAAGCGAGGTCTATCTCTATATAAATGTTTCTAAAAGCATTTTATATCAGACAAAAGGCAAGTAAATGTGTTCTTTATCTAGTGGAAGAACATATTTTCCATAACAAACTCGTCGGCCTGTAGAGATCTTAAGGAGTTTATCGTGATCGAGCCTAGAGCTGTAATTGCTTCCTAATTGCCACTGTAGAAGAAGATATCTACTCCTGTATGCTTATTCGCAATGAATTTTATAGCTTCTATATTTGCTAAGATTTCGGCCTGACTTGAGATACTAAATCTAGTAATTATTTGACCCAGAGAGATGTCTGCCAATAACTTCATTATGGCCATGACTTACAAACAAAGATGAAAAATAAATTTGAGATGTTCGAGAACGATTCCAACTATCTTCATTGAACTCTGATTTCACAGGGACAATGCCTTATTTTTGGAGAGAGGCCTTTTATCTTGCCGATAACACATCTGAATCGATCGGGATCGAGCTTAGCTGTTATATGGATTTTCGTTTAATTCTTAAGAGAGCTCTGCCTACTTTCGATTCCATGGGTACCGGAGTAAAAAATTTGTTCCACTTCAAAGCAACATTTAAATGCTAAATTTCCTTAAAAAATTACAAAATGAATATTTTTCAACACATCAAATGACCAACTTATTTATTGCATGCAAAGTTACTTGGAAATATCAAAAATAAATATGCAATGTAAAATATTTAAAAATTAAATTCACGATAAATATAAATATAAAAATATTGAAAGCGTTCTTTTTACCATATTAATTACTCGCCACCGCAAATGCCACTTAATCCCACTCAATGCAATATGCGGCACTCGGCCCCGCCGCCACCGCCACTAACGCTTGCGCCACTGCAATTGCAGAAGCGTGCGTTGCGATGCGACGGCGATGGTGTTGACATGTGCATCACCTCCTGCTTAACGGTATAGCCACGTAAAATATTATCGCCACTGCAGCAATTGTGGCAAGCTCCACAACCAGCACCGCCTTTACCGGTCTTACATGCCACTTGAGTAGGGTTTCCCTCCTCATCACCGTTAAATTTGACACAACGCGTGGTAGGACATTTCTGAGAAGAAAAAGAAATACGTGAAATTGCATATTCTCCATTGCAAAATAATGAGTTTGCCCCATGGACACGCACCACAACCACCATCGGACGCCCTTCATCGTCATCGAAGCCCGAGTTGTCACAGCTGCAGCAGTCCATTTGTGCTTGTTTGCGTATTATGTATTTCGCCAGGCAGCAGATGATGAGCTAAAGAATACAAAAAAAAAAAGAAAAACACCAATTGATATATGCAAATAACGGTCATCCACGTGCTGGTAACTCACATCCAATTTGAAGGCGACCAACACGAGCGCAATCAATATGTAGAGTATTTCCCACATTTTAATCGTAAAAAGCGGCAGGCAACCCTCCGTGTTAATCTGTGATAGCGTCAGGAAGGGTATGCGACTGTTATCGGTGCGTGGTATGTAATTCTCGAAGCATGTGGCACAGGTGTGCTTACAGCAAGCATATGGCGCTAAAGCCGCCTCACCGCTACAATTCAATAAAATGCGAAAATAATTCGATAAACACGCCAAGAGAACGCCTACAACAACACACACTTTACCTGCTTGTCGTTTGACATTGCGTGGCCTCCGTTGGCATCCACGAAGCCTTCATCCAGTCTTTATAACTGTGCACACCACAGCATTCCTTATGATATTGCAAACCATCCCACAGCAATTTCCACTCGGGGCATGTGTAATATAGATCGATGCCCTTAAGCAGCGACATCTCGGCCGTATTCTCCAGCGCATCCGCACATGTGATCAATGACCAAATGGTGCCGAAACCGCATATAACCACGACGAAGCAAAAGAACATCCAAAGATTGAGCAGCAAGTTGACATTAGGTGAGCAACGTCGTGACCACAGCGAAGACCACATGGCAATACTGCAGGCATAGACGACCATAAGTTGAAAACCCAATATGTAGGTATTGAAGAATTGTCCGCCCAACATTTTTCGTTCGACATCCGCCATGTAAGCGCCGAGTATGCGTTGATAAATAGCTGTTACGATTATAATGCCCAAGCCGAGGAAGACTTCCGACAACAGGAGTATCGTGAGATAGACGCGTGCGCGACCGAACGGCTCCTGCATCTGGGCATCGTTCAAAACAAATTCAAGAAACTGAAAATAAAACTATTGCTCTGTAGCTGAAACAGAAAGTCAGAAGTGGGCATAAAGCGACGAGTTGACTTTTAAGCAAAAAGAGGAAAGAAAAATATTTTTTATTTTAGCATTTTTCTGTTAAGTTTGCTTAAGTTTTTATAAATAATTTATTTTGTTTTAATTATTCTTCGACTAAGTCATTTCCACCCGGTGCTAATGCAACTTAGGACGCTGGATCTGTATTCCCTTATGCTTCTTTGGCTCGGTCCAATTTGTTTAATAAAGGGTTCCAATTTAACAGTGGCGTGTGGAGGGTTGTCCTTAAGAGTGTATTCAGAGACGAACAACTTAACTAAGAAGTAAGAGCAGTTATCAACCCAAAATTAAGGGAACCCAAGCGGAAATTAGTCTGACGCATGAAAGGTCTTTAACGATCGTGGGTTATGAAATTCTCTGAATAGTCGTTTCATCAAGGTAAGAAAGCCCTCATTTATAACCATAATCCAACTGTTAAGAAAAAGATACCAGTGTACGAGCGGATAGGAGAGAATGAATACTTTAGCTGAGGACTAGGCTCGTGTCAAAAATGGGCGTCTGAGGCTGCGCAGACACCAATGACAAATTGCATTTGTCGTTTGCTTCCCCAGATCTCACTCCGAGCTCTACTTTTTTTAATTAAAGGCTCCAAAAAACCTCGAACCTTATAGCCGTTATCTTGTCTTAATTTTGTTATTACGGCTACCCCACCTCAGTAAAATTTTTGCTATAATAATATCTGCGCCTTTATAGAAGAAGAAATCGAGGGAGAAGCTCGGCCGGTAAAGCCTTTACTAGCATACTTCGTACCATTTTTCTTGGTAGTTTCCGTTATTATTTGTTCTATCTTACACATTCAGTAATCCGAAAACATAAATACTGTGTCGCAGATAAAGAGTTAGCCTACCCGTATGAAAGATGACTATTCTCTCCAGATTTACAGGAAAGAATCGTTAATATGATAAAGATATCCATTGTAGAAGATCTCACTCAGAATTAATAAAAATGTATATAGGATATCTTTAATGAAAATGTTAACCGTAAGGTAGAACGAAAGCCCACTTCCGTGATCGAGCTCTATTTCGAAGGTACTCATGAGACCATATTAGCTTAGTTATAACTATGAAACCTTTATATTGGTTGGTAGGGAATGAGAGACTGTGGAAAATTCGGCTTGAAAGGCAGACAGAAGAAAAGGCAATTAACTAGGAACAAAATTTTAATATACAATTATAACAAAAATCATAATATTTGTTACTTTAATTAGAATTTATACCCACATAAATACTTTTAAATGGCCACTTGTAAATTAAAAAGAAAAACCAAACCATAAATAATTTGAATTTGAAATAAATGTAATATTTCTTTGGTTTCGCATCATTTCAAGTTAAGAAATATTGGAGCTTGTCTGTGCTAAGTATGAAGTCTATGATTTTCCAGCAACATGTTGTGTTCGACGCTGAGAACAGTTCATAAATGGGAAAAATTGTAAAATAGCAATCTACCCCTATCGGTCAACGGAAAAGGCAAGCCAGTGCCGAACTTTGCTTCTTAAATCAATTGCGCCCTCTGGCGTGTAGTCGATATCCCAGTGAAGGTAACTTTGGTGCTTGTCTGTGATAATTTTGTTAGCGGAAGGTGGCTGTATGGCAATATCTACAACTGTAGCGAGGTTTTGTATGTTCGGCCGTTATAGACGAATGATTAGCAGTAAGTACTAACATGCAGAGGGTCATGGGTTTGATTACTGTCTGGGCCAGCATACAAAATTAAAGATTTTAATTGAAATCAAAAAAATTAAAATCAGTTTTTTTTTAAATTGTTGTCTCGGTCCACGTGTATTTCTAGCATAACTTTTTTTTTTTCAAAATACAAATGTCTAAGTGGCCGCTGTAGCCTAGTGGTTAGCATTACGTACTGCCATTCGGAAGGCTCAGGTTAAAATCACCGTTCGACCAACATCCGAAAGTTATAGAAAATTAAGCTAAATTTTCTAATTGGTGTCGCCCCTTTATCTCTTGAGTTGGGATGAGTTGAGTTTATGCGGTTGCTGATCAGAGAGCCCAGCGCATTTAGGCCTCAAGGCTCGCTTTGGAGTACTACTCACCTTCTCAGTGGTACGAACCATTTCATGTCCCTTATGAACGATGCTCGACAGACTCTTTCTCTTCTTCGTTACGACAAACATTACTCGAAAATTATTCGATTCTCCTAGCGTAAAGCCTCATTAATTAGTGTCCATTAAGTATGTAATTTGTTAAATTAAGGTGAATCGATAAAGCGATTTAGATCTGTTGATCTTTTAACATCCAGTACAGGTCAAAGCTTTTTAGTACGCTAAGCCACGCTTTTAGTAAAAGCCAGTTTTATTCTTTGTTTCGCGGTAGACAAGGATACGCCCACGACGTGCGACGAATTTTTTGTAGTTAGAGTGGTGCGGTCTTGCGCTAGCGCTGTTTTCCGTCTTGCTGTGAGCTTGTTTAAATTACTTCTGCATTGCAGCGACACATTTGATGTGATGTATTTACATTGAAGAGATTTGATGGCGACTTGGCTATCCGAGTAAATAAATGCTAATTGTTCAGTTTGTAACCAGATATTCCGGCACCCATTCAGCGGCTTCCGTAATTGCAACATGTTCTGCATGGAAGGCGCTTCAGTAGTTTGGTATCCTCAAATTAAATTTGGTTGTGAATTCCACAGCCTACTCTTTCCGATACCATTTATCATTTATTTCTTGCTTGTAGGAAAATTTTACAACATATTTCTTCTACCACCAAACGATTCCATGAATTTTTGAATCTTTTTCCCTTCCTTTGCCAATTATTTATGATCTTGGTGGTCCTTCAAGTCGCTAAGCCTTTCCACCTCGTATCGTCAAATTTCTGGTATATAGTTTTTAGGGTTTTTTTTTTGAACTATCCCAATCCGACTGAGTCACCAAACGCACTCATAGTTGACGATCTCATCCACTAATTCGTTTCCAACAGTGCTCTTATGGAATAAAACGTAATAAAAATGTAGTTGATGTATATATGTATATATGTATGTGCTATTGGTTCTAACGGTATCGTCTGTTTTCTCTATAGTAAAAACTGCCGGCAGGAAAATGTTGTAGCAGTAATCCGACATCCTGAGGAGTTGTCTGAGGTCGAGTTTGGCGCAATAAGTTCCGGCACCTCGTCGGCCATTTTTAGTCCATTCGTATAAATGTCGTAAGCTCTGTTGGTAGACCACATGCTGAGCGATGCAATATGAAACTTTTTCTCCCAGACAAAGTCGACCATCCCATGATTGTTAACCTATTGTTAACCTTCATTTGAAGCAGTCCATGTTAAAGCATATTTTGTTACGTTTTGTTCTAGCAAAATATCGATTAGCTCAGTAATGTTTCAAATGCAGCTATTGTAGTAGTTCTTAGCCTCTCCATTGTACAAAGTGCAGAGAGCTGATGTATTTATATATTCCAGTGGTTTTCTGTACGGAGTCCTATAGTCCACGTTCCACCAGAACATTATAGAGAAATTTTGGCTCGACTACCAATGTGCAGCATCTTTACTTCTTAGCTCCTGAAACACATTTTCATATTTTCTAAATAAATTAATCATAAAACCAAGTTCAATTTTAAAATTCGCTATTCGATTCGTATATTTCTTTTTGCTTTAAATGACATTTCATTTTTCAAAAAATTCGGTTTTCATACTTAGAGATATGAGTTTTTATGGTGGCTATTTTATTGCATTCAATTAACTGATTGACTGTCTGTGTGAATAGCCTTTATAGTATCATATTAGTCACATACTTTCACGCAGCAAGTTATACGTATTTTTTATATCGTGTTTACTCATTAAGACTTACTTAACTATGTTGATAACCGCATACCGGTATTTTCAATGTTTTTTCTTTTGTTTTGAGCATCTTCAATCTCTTCGCGACCTTGCACTGCGTCATCAGTGGCCAACGTATTGCATCTTATGATCGCAACTTAAGTGCTCGTGCTCATAGTACGAGCGTTTGCTTTTATATTGCGTGTCTACATTTGCACCTATGAGTTTGCAAAGAAACTTTCGTACTATTGCAGACGTATGTATATACGAGGGTTGCCCTTTATATTTTGAGGTTTTGGCAATCCTATTGTTGGAATCCCGTAATTCCCATCATTATCGTAAAGTTTGACATTTTTAATGTTTACAAACTCCTCAAATATTCACCTCGATCAAAAAATGGATGAACGTGGATTAACTCAGCACCAGTCCATCGCAGGACCTAATTCAGTTTTTGGTGATGAGACTCCATCAAGGAACAGTGCTTACAGATGGTATGATGATAAATTCAATCGAGGCCGTAGATCACTCCAAGATGAATTTGGTGAAGGTCCTCCAAAATCAGTTGTTGTTGCGCAAACTATTTCCGCTGTGCGCAAACTGTTATTGCAAGCTAATCTCGCAACCTAAAGTTAGATTGAGAGAAATATAGGTTTTAGTGGGATCAACATATGAACATTTCTTTTTCGGATAAAAATCCAGGTCGTTCTGGTATCAGACTGTCGAAGGCACTTTTGGGTTTTAGTGGTCGCTTATGACAGGTATGCCATACTGCGGCAAAGTTCTTCACCTCTACCCAGCAGAGATCACGTCTATGACATCGTGGATTTATACATAGGACTCGAAATTAAACAGCAGTCGATTGTATGGATATTGAAAGATGAGGCGAATCCAACAAAAAGCGAAATAAAATCTTCCAAGTAAATGGTACACCTTTTTTGGACAGGTCCCATACGCACCACTAGAGCATCGTAGAACAGTAAATTTTGAGTGGCTTGAAACTATTTGTTTGCCAGTTGCCTATTAAAAAATGGAGAGCTAACCACCTAACATAGACAGATCACCCTTCACCACCACAATGAGAGCTCTCACACATCTAGTGAAACAGTTGCACCGAGGGTCCTAACTTATTTTTATTCTCGCACGTCAAAAATTAACTAAGAAGTCAACGTTTTTCGATACCTAAAGAG